TGGAATGACTTGCATCACCAGGATCAATCGCGTGACTAGTATTACTGGGATGAGTAGAATACCTAGGATGACTATGTTGACAGGAGTGACTGGGATGACTGTGATGAAAAGGATATGTCGAAGAACTTCGGTGACTAGGATGACTACAGCGATGAGATAACTGAGATGACTAGGGTGTCTGGTATGACTGGGATGACTAGGATGACTAGGATGACTGGGATAACTGAGGTGACTGACATGACTAGGGTAACTGGAATGAGTGGGATACTAGGATGACTAGGGTTACTGAGATAACTGAGATAACCAGGATGACTGGGATGATTATGACTAGAATAACTAGGACGAGAGGATGACTGGGACGACAGGGAGTCACTGGGATGACAGGGATGACTAGAATGACCGGGATGACTTGGTTGCAGGGTTTGTATCCTGTTTTGATAAAAAAAAATCAAGGACTTTTTAAGGACTTTTCAAGGACAAATTTCCCATTCTTCAAGGACCCCAATCATAGCCTTGAGTATATATCTTTTTTAGTTCTTCCACAACGTGACTGCAATTTTAATTTTTATCCTAAAGGTCTCTCTGTGTTTGCTCCTTTTAGGCACTTGAGTATCTGGATTGGATAAACTAAGCACTGAAATTCAAGGACTACTTTCAAGGACTTTCAAGGTGCATGCGAACTCTGAGGTTGAGTGGGGTGACTGGGATGACTGGAGTGACTGGGATGGCTGGGATGACTGGGAAGATTAGGATTACTGGGATGACTAGAAGGAGTGAGTTGACTGGGATAACTGGGGTGACAGGGATGACAGGAATGACTTGGATGATAAGGATGACTTAGCTAGGTGAGTGAGACGACTGTGATGACAAGGATAACTAGAAAAACTTGGATAACTAGGATGATGAGATAACTGAGATGACAAGGGTGTCTGGTATGACTGGGATGAATAGGATAAATAGGATGACTACCGTGTGGCACAAAATTTTTGCGGATTCTAATTTTAGCTTTTTTGCGATTTTTCCAGCCATCCACAAAATAAGTTGACTTGGATGACTGGGATGACTTGCTTGATTAGGATGAATAGGACGACTATTGATTAAATGAATTGGATGGCTGGGATGACTGGGATGCTTTGGATGACTGGAATGACTTGCGTGATAAGGATGACTATTAATGAATGAGATGACTTGGATGGTTGGAATGACTGGCATGACTAGGACAATTAGCATGACTAGATTGAATAAGCTGACTTGATTTACTGTGATAACAGGGGTGACAGAGATGATTGTGATGAAAAGGAAAAGTAGAATAACTGGGGTGACTAGGATGAATGGGGTGATGAGATAATTGAGATGACTATGGTGACAGGGATACCTAAAATGATAGGGATGACTAGGGTTACTGGGATCACTAGGTAACTAGGGTGACAGGAATGACAGGAGTGACTTGGATGGTTAGGATGACTTAGCTAGGTGACTGGCATGACTGTGATGACAAGGATAACTAGAAAAACTGGATGACTAGGATGATGAGATAACTGAGATGACAAGGTTGTCTGGTATGACTGGGATGAATAGGATAGATAGGATGACTAGGATGACTGAGATCTCTCGGGTGACTAAGATGACTAGGATGAATGGAATGAGTGGGATACTAGGATGACTTGGATGACTAGGGTTACTATGATGAGAGCATGACTGGGATAACAGGGGTTACTGAGATGACTGGAATAACATGGGCAGCAAGGATGACTGGGACTGACTTGCAGGATAAGGATGAATAGGATGACTATAAATGAGACGACTTGGATGGCTGGCATGACTAGGACAACTGGCATGACTAGGATGAATATGATGACTTGACTTACTGTGATAACAGGGGTGACAGGGATGATTGTGATGAAAAGGAAAAGTAGAATAACTGGCCGGGGTGACTAGGATGAATGGGGTGACTGGGATGACTGGAACGACTGAGATGACTAGAGGGACTAGGATGACTGAGTTGATTAGGATGACTAAGGTGGCTGGGATGAATGGAAATGACTGAGATGTCTAGGGTAACAGACTCAAAAATGGTGACTTTGTTGACTAGGATGACTAGCTAGGGTGGGTGGGATAACTACAATGACTAAAATAATAGGGATACCTAGGATGATTGGGATGACTGGTGACTGGGATGCAAAGAGGAGTGGGGTGAGTAGGATGACTGGGTTGACTGGGATAACTACAATCATGGACAAGAGTCCTTGGGACAGCAATGCAATAATCATATTTTTTATCTGGGTTCCTTAATAAAACAGTGCATCCTTTTTGAAATTTTCTTGTAGTATTTTCTGTAGTCTTGAAATCTGACTGGGGTAACTGGGATGACAGGAGTGACTACGGTGACTTGGATGACTAACATGAGTAGGACAACTGAGTTGGCTTGGATAACTAGGATGAGTAGGATGACTGGAATAAGCTGGATGGGTAGGATGAGTGGGATGACCTCATCTTTAAT